AAATGGAATTGGAAGAGCACAGGAAAAAGATACTGGACTATGAAGGAAAAGAGAAATTGAGGGTGTTGAGAAGAAAAGATGGAATTGTAAGAAGTAGAGACTCCTCTTCATCTTGCAGCAACATGGATGAGCTAACCATTGATCTTAATTAACTATGAAGCAAAGGATGAAGACAATGGCATCTTCAACCATGAGGAAAGCAACCACAACAATTTAAGTGCTGATACAGTTTCAAATTTGGAGGAGATGGCAATAGACTGTGCAAAGTATATAAGTGTTGTTGATAATTCATTGGCAGAATTTGAGGAAGATAAGGTGTCCATTCTAAATGAGTTCAAAGCATTGAGGGAAAAACTTATCGCAGTGGTGATATAATGAGCAATTCCTTGATGAATTTAACTTGATTGAGCTTTCATCAAGACCAGGTGACAAAGACTTGATATGCAAAACTCATTTCCTACACTTGAAATGGATAGTATGAAGGTGTCCTTTGAAGAGGAGGTTGATCATGTTTATGAGAGGTTACAAGCTCTTAAAACAGATAGGGAGTTTCTAAAGCACTGTAAGGGATCCACACAGAATGGAGACAAAGGAATGGATCTTCTTCAAGAAATCTTGCAACATCTTTGTGCGAGCTCCTCAAAAATTTATCCCCTGCTCCTTTTATCTGTTTTGCATAACTACTAAATTTTAGCCTTTACCTATGCCAACAAATTCTAAAAAGTTTGAAAATTATCTAGTGCCAAGGCACTAGCTAACCCCAATGTGGCTTTGTCACTGAAGAGTGAAGTATAAAAAAGAGCTTTATCCTTCAATGAAGTGATAAGTTAGGCCTTCTAAATGGATCCAATATGACATCTAACACAAAGCACTTTGTTTTAGATTGTCTTAGAGATGAGTTCATCACATTTGGAGTTTCATTTAAGACTTATTATGGCAACCAATTCTCGTGATGTAGAGCTCATATTTTTTTATTTATTTTTTTGTGTGTACATATAGAGCCCATATTTAGTTGGGTTTATGTGTGATTAAAAGAATTTTGTTAATAGGTGAGCCAATGTTATTAAACTGATTATCAATTCGGTTGAGATACTAAGTTGACAAGTCATTGGCTCAATCTATGAATCACTTGTTGAACTTGCTGGTTGAATTACTTAATTGAATTATATAAGAATATATAATAAATGTAATAATAAAAGTATTATGATAAATATATACTTGTGGTATAGTGATTAATGTTAGAAAGATATAAAATTATTAATGTAATATCACCTAATATATTAAGGTTTTGGATTAAAATAGATCTTTACCATTAATGTTGCATTACGTAGGTTAGGTTGTGGGTGTTAACAGTATGAGCTTGGAAAATTTCACACGGCAAAATAATGTATCGATTATGTATAAATTATAATCTGTATATATTTGTTAGTTATGGTTATGATGACTGAAGTTACTGTTTAGACCTCATAATTACTTCTTCATGGATCATGATATTCATTAATTAATTATAATTTTTTCAAAAATATGTTTAGTGATATATTTTTATTTATTTTAAATAATTCATATTTCTATCGTCGATTTATACTCTCAATCAAAAACATATAATTGAAAATATTATATTCAACTGTCAAATTATTATTATTATTATTATTGTTATGAGGTGAAAAGTTTTGGGCGACCTTTGGAGGACAGTAGCCTCATTAAACTATGATGAATATGTAAGTATTTTATTTGAAAGTGGTAATTAGTGAAATGATTATAATGTTGATCATCTCAAAATAATTTTTTTTTTGGTGAAGATCTCAAAATTATTTACTTCTTAAGAATAGTGTTGTAACAGAGTGCATGTCAAACAAATGGCATAACATATGCCGGAACAAAATTTTGACGTGCATAATTACACCAGATTGTTTTATTTACTCTAAAATCAACGGCAAATTGAGAAGACTAATTTTGTTAGGATGGAGAAAAAAAGATTATAGCGAATTATGAAGCGGAGAAAGTTATATTTATTATCATTTTAGACTTATTATTCTTATTATCTGATTAGTTACCGTTATATTAATTTGAAATCAACAATAGAAAAATAGAAGAAAAAAATAACTGTTGTTGATTTTGAATTAATCCTTTGATAAATAGAAGAAAAATGCATGTAAAACTGATTACAACTAAAATAAAAACTGATTACAACTAAAAACTGAATTCTCTCTTCAACATGAAAATCTGACTTCCACTAAGTTCTGAGTTCCACTCCTTTTTACAAAACAAAGACTACTTAAAAAAAAATATATATCTTCAAATTGATGTTGTCCCTCATATCAAACAAGCATCCAACGACCTTCAAATTTCCATCTCATCTTCTTCTTTCATCTTTTATTGCCATGTGTCCTTTTCTGTGTATAAAAAGAAAAATAATTTGCAAAAAGTTAAAATTTCTTTTCTTTTACCTCTTTTTATCAACTTGGGCTTACTTCTTTAAATTTGGCCCAAAGTTTACCTGCACTTTAATACAATTCAGCCCATAAAACATAAGATAATTACCACTAAATTAAATAGAAATTAAGACTACCACTCGTCAGATTAGGTTTTGGCCTAAATACGTTAAGTTTATATAAAATATTTTGAACTTGGTTTGACCTATTAATTTGGTGTACTCTACATTATAGGTTTGGTCTTGTCTATATTTAAAAATCAAAATATATGACCTAGGCATATTAACATGTTTAAGCCTACGAATCTTTAATAATTATCAAAGTTAATATATATATATATATATAAAATAAATTTTTATTAGTTAAATTTATATAAATAATTATTTATTTTATTTGAATTAAATTAAATAATACGATATACTGACGTATAGGTCAATATTTGTAAAAGGAAATGTTTTCTAAACAAGTTTTTTTTGAGGTCCAAGCCTATTTTATTTTACTAAATATATTAGCTAGGTCAAACCTAACCTACTTAGACCGAATTATAAACACTTAATAGACCATTTGATCCATTTAAATCCCTACATGGAAGTTATGTGTGAGGAAGAACTTGCAATTTGTGTGTTAACAGTATTGAGCTTGGAAAATTTCACACGGCAAAATAATGTATCGATTATGTATAAATTATAATCTGTATATATTTGTTAGTTGTGGTTATGATGACTGAAGTTACTGTTTAGACCTTATAATTACTTCTTCATGAATCATGATATTTTTAATTAATTATCATTTTTTCAAAAATATGCTTAGCGATATATTTTTATTTATTTTAAATAATTCATATTTCTATCATCGATTCATACTCTCAATCCAAAACATATAATTGAAAATATTATATTCAACTGTAAAATTATTATTATTATTGAGGTAAAAAGTTTTGGGCGACCTTTGGAGGATAGTAGCCTCATTAAACTATGATGAATATGTAAGTATTTTATTTGAAAATGGTAATTAGCGAAATGAATATAATGTTGATCATCTCAAAATAATTTACTTCTTAAGAATAGTATTGTAACCGAGGGCATATCAAACAAATGGCATAGCGTGTGCCGGAACAAAATTTTGACGTGCATAATCACACCAGATGTTTTATGTACTCTAAAATCAACGGCAAATTGAGAGTACTAACTTGGTTAGGATGGAGAAAAAAAGGTTATAGCGAATTGAGAAGCGGAGAGTTATATTTATTATTATTTTAGACTTATCACTCTTATTATTTGATTGGTTATTGTTATATCAATTTGAAATCAATAATAAAAAAATAGAAAGAAAAAAAAACTATTGCTGATTTCGACTTTGATAAATAATTAGATAGTAAGGGTGGTACGTCTAAAATATAATAAATATAACCGCCCCAACTGAGAGGCTTGATAGTCCATTGTTCTTTATAAAACAAAGGGGTGGTGAAGGGAGGGCCCCAATTGGTAGAAAAAAACCCGCAACTTTTTTTCTTCCAGAAACTCTTAGTATTTAAAAAATACATTGAATTTCAATTATTTCGAGTTGAGTCGAGTGAACTTACTCAAAGGAACAATATTCTCTTAATGTCTGTTTTTTCGTTTTCACAATTAAGACTTCACTTAAATATAATCGAGTCCCTTATTACTCGAACTTTTTACATATTGATTTATAAAACAAACAAATAATAACATTTGTAGATAGATCAAAAAACTCAATTTTTGAGTTTGTTCTTTCCGGTTCAAAGGTTGAAGTGACAAAAATAATAGAACCCCGTATACCGAAGTGAAAAAGAATTGAAGTGAAAAAGAACCAATTTTAATTATTATTATTTTAACCTTGAATAAAATTCATTAAACCAGTAATGAAAAAGAATTGAAGTGAGTAAACATAAACAGAAAAACCAAAATCACTGGCTGCTTGTGGAAGCTTGTGAAGCTTCCAAAAAATAATCCATTTTCTTTATCACTGGCTGCTACACTAGTCCGGTGAACATTCTTTACCTCAGTTACTCTACCATCAGCCTCATTCATACTCTCATATCACATGAATACCGAACTAATTTGTTTCCAGCTGCAATAGTAGACTGAAGAATATCATCCTCTTTCTGCTGCTTCACTTTAAGTGATTTTTAGAATAAATTTCAGCCCAAACTTTATTGAAATCTGAACGACACCGACTCCATTCCTCCTGTTTCTGCTTCAGTCGAGTCAATATTACAGGGAGCGCACGAGTTGGGTTTTTACGCAATATGTCTATAACGTCAAGACCATGGTCACCATATAGACGTTCAATGCACCTTAAATTTTGAACAGTAAAGTAATCTTCAATACGGTTCAGAGTCTCCATATTGATCTTATTTTCATTCATGTTATTATATAATTCCTCTGCACGTTTAGCTGCAGAACTCACAGACTCTAATAACATGTCCAGCTCAAATCTGTCATCTTCACATCTGAACAAGCTCTCTTCGTACTGATTCCTGCACATATGTTCGGAAGAGTAATCCTCACTTCCTGAACTCACAGATACCCAGTGATCATTCAATACTTGAGCACCAAGCTCAGATCTCTGACTAGCTGTAGGAATTGGATAATCAGCAGGTAGAAGCCGGTAGCTGGGAGTGCAACGTTTACAGTCACTGAGGTCAAGTTCTTGAATGGATTTTCCCATGTACTCCTTCTCCCTGTATCTTTCCTTCTCTTTAGCTCCATCCATCTCACGCTTCTGCTCTTTGTCTTTGTCTTTGTCCTCCAACTTTGATGATCTTAGTGACTTTTTACTCATGACACCAGCAAGGAACCCATCAATATTTTCCAAACACTCCAGGAAATCATTGAATTCCACCATAAGATCAAGATGCTTTCCAAGTAAATCGGTTACCAAATTTTGCAATTCATTCCTTTTTATTATTTCACTGACGAAAAAATTATGAAGGCACTTCAAGAAAGCTTGGTAGTCATCAGCACTGTTCAACTTCTCCTTAACTTTCTCAAAGAAACTGAATGCTTGACTATACATGTTCTTTAAGGTATCCTTGTCTTCCTTAGAAGAAAAGTCTGAAGCCAACCCAAAACCTTCAGCTTTCTTGACAGATTTCTTTTTCTCATGAAAGCGCTGCAAGTTCAAATCCCTGCTGTTATTATTTTATATTGACAAAAATCTCACATGAGTCTTTACAATATTATTATTTTTTATTCTATAAATAATGTTCGCCCATCTAAATGTGACAACGCCTAACTCACCAGGTGTTGTAAGCGAGTTAGGTAACGTGACATTATGAACAAAAATTTACAAAATGTGACATTCAGATAATTTTTTACAAAAAATGTGGCACTTTAATCGTTGTCCATCAAAGAATCCTATAACAATTTCCATCTTAAAAACAAATCAAGAATTACAAGCCGTCTGTACTAAATAGGGAATGAAAGAAAGGGGCAAAAAAGTAGAATACATTCTTATATATTAAATTAAAGTTTATTCTCTTAAATGTAATGCCTATAATAGAGTAAACGCATATGATTTACTCTGCATCAGTATCCTTTCTATATATACTGCAAAAGACAACTCTGTGTTTTGTGATATAGTTTCTGAACTGTTAAGAGTTTGTTTCGTGCCAGCTCAGTTTCTGTTAGAAGTTAGATTTGCTGAGCTGGGGGGACACTGTAATCAGTTTAATCTTAAGTCAATAACACAGTTCTCACTCAGAAACTTTCTCTGATCAACACATGAGAAGGAAGCCTCTTTCGTCGATATACTTGCATTTGCCGCATCATGGGTGCCATAGAACTCCGCTCACTAAAGCGCTGCAATGAATTTCGAGCATCCGGAGCATGCTGTGTAGAAGGTGCTGCGAAACTATCTGGTAAGAATCTAGTGAACTCCTCAAGCAAATCTCGATGATCCTTAAACAGGGTAGCAACCTCACTATAAATTTCACCTATGTCCTTATGCTCTTTGCGGTACATATTGGAAATGTTCAAGAACGATTTGTAAACATGCTCATCACTTTGGAATCGTTTCTTTATCTTGTTCAAAAAACTAATAGCTTCTTCAAATTCAACCGTTTTCTTTGGAGGAGCCTCATCCCTTACTCTCTTCATCTTTTATCGGTTCTCCAGATTTTCCTAGGAAAATTCGCTGGAAAACAAGTCGAGTAGATCGACAAGAGAAAGAAAAAAAAAAGAGTGAAGTGTTTGATCGGACAGAACAACAAGGTAAACAAGAAAAACAACAAATAGGGTTTCTTCTTTCTCTGTCTCTCTCACGTTGTTGCGTTAGAACGATGGAAACTGAGGCGGTGGGAACCAATTAAAAGGCTAGATTTAGAATTTTATATGGGAAAAAAATTTAATTATTGCATTTTAATTAATTAATTATGCAATTTGGATTGTGATTTTTTTTTTGGAGGTTTGGATTGTGATTTGATAGAAGAAAATAAATAAAATTTGTGATATGTGATTTAATTTTTTACAGTTTTGGATTGTGAACCAATCTGCGTGTGTGATTTAATATAAAAAATTAATCAAGATGATGTGTGATTATATTTAAATTTTATTTTTATTTTTATTATAAAAAAATTTGGTTTGTTATTTAAATTAAAAGTAACAATTATTATTAATAAGGAAAATAAAATAAAGATTTGATTTGTGATTTAAACTCAAAAATCAATTTGAAAAATCTGTATTAATAAATGAAATAATTCAATAAATATTCTAAATCTCTAAGGAATAAGGATTACCTAATTTAAATTTAAATTATGTTTGTGAGAAATAAAATATATCAAATGAGATGTCATTGCGTAGATCTCGAAAAGTTATGTGGAATCAAAAAACAATTACCTGAATTGGATACCCGAGTCAAAAGTTATGGCCTTCATAAGTTTTATGATTAAATTATTATTATTTTTTTATAAAAAATGACACGTGTCAACCTTAGGTGAGAGATGCCTAAATGAGGCGTCACATTGTAAAATAGATCCGTAATTATTTCCAAAACTGCCATAAATGCGTAATATTTAATTAAAATGCGATAATTAAATTTTTTTGCCAATTTTATATATCTCAAAGATATGAATTAGTATTATTATATCTCCTTGGAGTGATGGATCAATCAACAAATTAATGACTCTACTAATTTAATTTAATATATTATTTAAAAGTAATATATTTAAAATCAAATTAAATCTAATCATGCCAATTATTAAAAAAACTTTAAAATATATCTTGTTTTTAAAATAAAATAAAATAAAAACATAAATGAAATGATAATTAAAATTCATAAAATTTATACTTAATATATTTTAATTTTATTTATCCTGATATGATAAGCATAGGTTGTGTCAAAATTTCTATATAAATACATAAAATACAAAATTTAAAAGTACACAATACGATAAAGTTTTGTTTCAAAATTTAAAAGTACATAATACAAAATTTAAAAGCACAAATTCTTTTAGTTTTAAAATAATCATTGTTTAAAGATTTGTACAAAAATTAAATAATTCATTAAATTCTTTACGATTTAATGAAAATATAAGTTTATTTGATTATATTACACCTTCACTCTATTAAATCATTCTTATTCCAATAAGTAGAAATAAAAAAATAAAGTAGAGCTAAGAAAATAATATATTTTTTTTAAAGTGACAAATAATTTAGAATAAATTATAACTTTTTAAATACAATTAGATACATAAAATGTGCCTATCATAGTAGAAAGCAAGTTAAATTCAACACCATATTATTTAAGTGGAAAGTGTTTGTCATTTTAAATGACATAAAGTTATGTCATTTGTAACGCCCGGTCGCTTCAAGAATCAATGACTATCCCCACATACTAACACGAGACTTTTCAGTGTGCTTTTTCCTCACTCGCACACTTCCCGGGAAAACTTCCTAGGAGGTCACTCATCCCATAATTGCTCCTAGTCAAGCACACCTAACTGTGGAGTTCTTCCGATCCGGGCTACCGAAAAGCAGATGCATCTTGTTAGTATAGGTAGTACCAATTGATTCTTATAAGCTATTCTAACTGTGCAGTCTCATACCTGCACAGTCTTTGGAATTCTTCTCTTTCGGGTGTCGATTCGATTCATTCATGCATGTAACCCCACGCTGGAAGCCTGTCAGGAGCCGCTCCTTGTCCGTGCCCCTTTGCACCGGCGATTACTCCCTGCCCTCGTCAGCGCTCTAGATGTTACATCATTTTAATAGAGAGATTCACACAAGAAATTATTTTTTATTTAAAATTTAAATTAAAAAAATCACTCACTTTCTCTCCCATGATTTTCATTTCTTATCTCTATATCTCTCCTAAAATAATATAACTTATGTCATTTAAAATGACAAACATCAAACTCATTATTTAAACATGGTCCTATCACTTAATTTGTTTTTAGCTTTTTTTTTTTTTAAGAAAAAACCCAAGCAAGACCTGATTATCAAACTTGTGCAGGACAACAAATTAGACATGATTAGTTATCAAACTTCAAGACCTAATACGTCAAATGCTTTGACGGGATTAGCCAAAAAAATTAAGTCCATGTTTTTTAATAAATTAATTACGCATTTATTACAGTTTTGGAAATAATTATATATTTATTGTACAATATAACGACCAATTTGGGCGTCACTCAAGACGCCTAAATTGGGCGTCACTCAAGAGGCAATCATACTTAATTTAGGCGTCATTTATCAGATATTGACACGTGTCATATTTTTTTTCCAAAAAAATAATAATTTAATCATAAAACTTCTGAAGGCCGTAACTTTTGACTCGGGTATCCAAATCAGGTAATTCTTTTTTTAATTCCTCATAACTTTTCGAGATCTACGCAATGAGATCTCATTTGACATATTTTATTTCTCACAAACACAATTTAAATTTGCAAGAATAATATTATAAGAAACGTTAAACCCGGAAGCCTCTGAGTTCTGGATTTGTGATTTAATATAAATAAATAAATAAAATTTTGATTTGTGATTTAATTTTTTTTTAATAATATTTTTTTATTATAACAAAAATTTGGTAAATTAAAAATTAAAATTAAAATTATTATTAATAAGGAAAACAAAATAAAGATTTGATTTGTGACTTAAACTAAAAAATCATTTTGAAAAATCTGTAGAAATAAAGGAAATAATTAAATAAATATTCTTTTTTTATGAATTTTTTTCAAAAATAAAATTACCTAAATTTTTTTATTATAACAAAAATTTGGTTTGTGTGTGATTTAAATTAAAAATAAAAATTATTATTAATAACGAAAACAAAATAAAGATTTGATTTGTGACTTAAGCTTAAAAATCATTTTGAAAAATCTGTAGAAATTTGGAAAAATGTTTTATTAAATAAATATTTTAAAAATTATAGGAAGAACACCTATTATTATTTTTGAAATTAATAAGCTTCTAAGTTATTAATTTATATATACTTGGTCTGAAATTAATTATGGCTTATGCATTTTTTTCAAAAATAAAATTACCTAAATTAGGCGTATTTCTTGCTTATGTTTTTTTTTTCCTGAAGTAAAACAACTTTTGAAGAGAGAAAAACCCATGAGGCCTCTTGATGCTAATTGAAACCCAATTTAGACGTTTTTGGTTTTAATTAAAATATATCATTTGTTTCAAAACTTTTATGTCTGTTTACGTCCTTTAAACAATGTCAAATTTTTAAACTCAGAAGCCTTGTGTCAATTTTATTAGTAAATTATGTTTGATATTTTTATTCTTAAAAAATACAAGTTTTGATGTGTGATTTAATTTTCAAAAAATAACAATTATTATTTTTAAATTCACAATTTTCATGAATTACTAATTGTTTTGATTATATTTATAAAAATTATGAATTCAGTTTGGTGATTTATGTTTTGATATAAAAAATTAAAGATTTGATTTGTTTAACATTAATTTCAAAGTTATTAAGAATTAAATAATAAATTAAAAAAAATAAAAGATTGCATTTTCTTTCTTTTTCCGATATGAAATAAATATTTGCGGTCTGGATTGGATCGATTTTGGAAGCAAAATTATCCAAAAATCCCTTTTTTGATCAATTTGTTTTCAAATCCGAATCCGATCCAATACAATTTTTTTCGGTTTGGATTGAATTATCTTTCCTAAACCTTAACAAATAAAGAATCTCAACTTTTATAGCCTTTCAATTATGTTGTAAGTGAAATAAGCAAATCCATTTTCAAAGTAAACGCCATTGCTATATATAATTGACTCAAGGTTCCTAAATTTAAAAAGTATGTCTTGAAATACAAATTGCCAACACTAAATAAGTACACATGCAGCGATGAGGGATAACATATTATGCATCATGGTTTCAGATTATTATTATTAATAAGGAAAATAAAATAAAGATTTGATTTGTGATTTAAACTCAAAAATCAATTTGAAAAATCTGTATTAATAAATGAAATAATTCAATAAATATTCTGAATCTCTAAGGAATAAGGATTACCTAATTTAAATTTAAATTATGTTTGTGAGAAATAAAATATATCAAATGAGATGTCATTGCGTAGATCTCGAAAAGTTATGTGGAATCAAAAAACAATTACCTGAATTGGATACCCGAGTCAAAAGTTATGGCCTTCAGAAGTTTTATGATTAAATTATTATTATTTTTTTATAAAAAATGACACGTGTCAACCTTAGGTGAGAGATGCCTAAATGAGGCGTCACATTGTAAAATAGATCCGTAATTATTTCCAAAACTGCCATAAATGCGTAATATTTAATTAAAATGCAATAATTAAATTTTTTTGCCAATTTTATATATCTCAAAGATATGAATTAGTATTATTATATCTCCTTGGAGTGATGGATCAATCAACAAATTAATGACTCTACTAATTTAATTTAATTTAATATATTATTTAAAAGTAATATATTCAAAATCAAATTAAATCTAATCATGCCAATTATTAAAAAAACTTTAAAATATATCTTGTTTTTAAAATAAAATAAAATAAAAACATAAATGAAATGATAATTAAAATTCATAAAATTTATACTTAATATATTTTAATTTTATTTATCCTGATATGATAAGCATAGGTTGTGTCAAAATTTCTATATAAATACATAAA